AAGGGTTCATTTGTAAATATTAATTAATTAATGACAGAACAATTTATCATTTAATTTTAATATTATAAATAGGGAATTGATAAAGATGGCACGTGTTTGGTAGGAAAGTCAGACGAGGTTGCGACGAGAACCGGTGAACGTCGAATAATTGCCTGAACGTTTAATAAACTATTGACAATGTTAACCTAATCACAGATTACAGATTTACGAAATGGTCTAAGTTAAGAATAGTGCGTGCGAAGAAAGAGTGGCAGAAATGGGAAGAATACGTGGATCAATATAAGAAATGGAAATTCTTCTCGTCTGTGATTAAGCTAAGGGTAAATGAAACAGTTAGAAAAATGCAAACCACGAACAGTCTTAATTTTCTGTAGTTTTAGATAATCTTATCGCATAAGGAATGGGACAACACTTGCCATTTGCACCAGAGAACGATTATGCAACAGAAAATTCGTTTAGAAAACATTCTCAGGTTTCTGAAAATCATTTATTAAAAAACTTGTATGCAAACTGTAATCAATGAATATTATTTAGGATAAGATGGAAATACAACATCGATGAGATTCTTCCAAACGATTCCATAATTTTCGATAAAGTCAGTTAATTTAAATGAAATAAAATCACAATTCTCTAAAATTTGTTCAATTTAAATAATAGATAATGAAGAATGAAGAGGAGAGAAAGAAGCAGCTGGAACTTCGACAAGAGAGAATGATAAAGATAATAAAAAAAATTGCACAGGAGATGAACAATGGCATTCGATTCATGAGGAAACCGAAAGATGTTCGATTAAAGAGAATCACGTTGGAAGAAATTAGCCAGGAGAGTTTCGAAGAAATTTCGTTTGAGGAAATTCGCAGTGGAAATTTGTTGACCGAAGAAATAATTGACAAAGATGTTCCAGTATCTAAAGAAATTGTTCCAAAATTAATTGAAAGGGATGAGATAGAAGATTCAGAGTTGAAATCCGGTGGAGGCGAGCCACGTCTTGAAGAGAAAAAAGATAATGATAAAGATTGTCTTGAGGGATTTGTGATAAAGAAATCTAAATCGACGATAGAACAAGAATTCCCTGAAGATGTTTGTTTCTTTGCGATACCCAGCACAGTGACTTTCGAAGTAAATATTTAATAAAAAAACGTCATACTCAGAATTAATTAAAAAATAATATATTCCTTATTTCAGGATTTCGAATTGAATAAAGTATATTCCCGTAAATTGATAATTAGAAATAAAACCGTGAAATGGGCGTATCTGCGGTTTCATAAAATCTACACGGAAGTATGGGAACCCGGAATTATCGAGGTTCCTAACAAGCTTCTATTTCAATTTAGTACACTGCCAATTATTTTATTATTTAATTTGAAACGCAGATTGACATCATGGATGCTGCAAGAGTCAAACCCGGCCTTCACGTGTTGGTTAACGTGAAATTTTCACCTATTCATGAAGAAATAGTGACGGCGGATATTGCTTTCTTAACTTTAAACCAGGATGACACGGAAAACTTTCATGAATTTCGTGTTCCCGTCCGCTGTACTCCGCAGAGTGCTATACCCGTCTTAGAACCCAGAGAGCTTAGGTGAAAAATAATAATACGAACATTTTCTGAGAACTCATAAAATCCTGAAAACTTCTACTTTATATTAAAATTATAAATTATTTAGAGACGTTATAGTTGATTTTATAGAACTTTGTTAGATTTCCTTCGGCACAAATTTGGAAGTACAGTGACTTAAAATATAGCCAAAGGGTTCTCACAATTTCTAACGAGGGTAGGAAATCGTTTTCTATAGTAATAGAGGAAAGGAACGAGTGGGATCACTATTTCTCATGGCACTTCGATCAAGCAGAAATACAATGCATTGAGTCATCAATTTGGAGCACGAGTCAGTGTCGAATCAATTAAAATTATAATGAGAACTGAATTAATCTTTGACATTTTACAGGTGAGGATAACGACGAAGAAATAAATGCAGATAACAATGGAAAGTACACTTCAAATCTCGAAGATTCAGGAAAATTCTACCAAATTGAAGTCCCTCCGAAGTTCAAATGCAATTTGATTATTTCTTTCCGGCCCAGGTACACAGGGGTGCACCACGAAGTATTGGAAATTCGTTTTTTGATGGACAATAAAATGTTCGGTGAACAGGTTTGCTATCAATCTCTTATGCAAGTTCAATGATAGTCTAACATTTTGTTTATTTTTTAACAGAGTGTACCAATATGGGCGGAAGTTGTTGGGCATCAAATCCATTTGGACCCACCGTGTGTCGACTTAGGGATCGTAATGATCGACTCCGACGTTTCTCAGCAAACATTTAACATTATCAATACCGGTACATCCGCTATCAATAATAAATATTAATTAATTAAAGAATCTTAGAATTTTGTTTGAAAGTTTAGGTCGATGGAGCGTGGAAGTTTTAATAAAAACGCCCAAGTGTTTGGAAAACCAAGTGTGTGTCTATCCTAAATCAACAGTTGTACAGACTGAAGTGTCAACTAAAATTATTGTAAGATTGATACCCGAGGCGAACATTATTCACATTGCCAAACGGTATTTGGAAATACATAAAAACATGATCAATTAATTTGGAATAAAATTCAACGTTATTACGAATTTATATAATTGTAGATATTATGACTCAGTATCAAACATGTTGGAGTTCCCAATTCACGTACAAGTTGTGTCTCAAGAGTCAGCAAAACCACCGCCATTGGTAGTGAAAGTTCTTGCTACTCTGACCACGTGTAACGGTTTAGTTTTGGGTTAGTGAATAAAGAAACTAAATCTTATCTACCTTCGTTGCATTATCCTCTCCAAATTAAATTAAATTGCAATTCTAATTATATTGTTTTAGATACATTATTGAAATAAGTAATATCATTCGTAGAGCCAAGATACATCGATTTGGGATTCGTTTACACTCACGAGTCTGTCTACAAGGAGTTAACATTGACTAATGAGAGTCTATTACGTCAAGAATACGCTTTTATAAATTTGCCACTGACTGTGGAAATACAGCCAAATTATGGTTTCGGAACGATTCTACCTGGTGAGACGATTAAACTCCATCTGATCTGTTCCCCATGTATAACAGACATACCTGGAAACGATATTCGGGCGAACGGATTGTCTGGTGAACGAAGGTTGCCAAATAATTAATTTTTATTTTCAGCAAAATTAAATTTCTTGTTTAAAATGAATCGTTCAAATTATTTGACAGTTTTTTCATACAAGCAGTGACTGTGGCTGAGCTCGCTAGTAGCAAGAAGCAAACAATAGTCAATAAATTAAAGAATCCGATGGAAGTTCTATCGACAGTGCCACGAAGTCGAGGTTTTCCACCTCCGCTGCCTATAAATCTCAAAGTACCGACGTCTGTGTATCGCCAAGCCAATCAGGACAACGTGGATGATCATACAGAAAGTGATTCAACAGTAGACAAGAAAGATTCAAGTAATAAACCAAATCGATTTTAAGAAAAACATTAAATTAATTTTATTATTAAAATATTAACTCAGATTTGAATGATTAATTCCACGAAATAATTATTGCATGATTAGATGGACGTTTGAGTAATGAAGACACTTCAGGAATCACAGAAGAGATCAGTCGTCTCGATTATAGGAAAGAAAAAAATAAAATAGAAATTTACGTTTACATTGTTGATGCTTTTTGCGAGCTGAGCGAGCAAATCATCAAATTTCCAGCCACCCCTTGTGGTTCGTTCTCAATGGTAAGTTTAACAATATAATCGTGATAAAATTATTTTAATAATTAATGGATTTAGGCTAGTGTACACTTGAGAGGATTCAACGCTGCTTCCTATCCTAACTGCACCTGTGGAATAGTGAAGAATCAGAATAAGGAGTTTACTGGACGTTTCGACTTCCAGAGTTCTTCGGACAGGATTAAAATTATGCCGCAGTCTGGCACCTTGTCTAACAACGAGATTATTGAAGTAAATTTTCTGTTTAAACCAAGGCTACCAAGGAGGATGATTTTTGAAGAAGGTCTCCGACTGAAAATGAATGTGGACGAACAGGTGATGAAGTCTGGTAGAGAAGATAAATCACCAGAAAAAGGTGCTCAACAGTGCACACTATATTATATTAAATTAATTCAGAAATTCAAGATTTACAAAACGCTTTTAACCCCTTCCCGTGCCATTTAGCTCGACGAAACTATCTGTACTAATTATAAGTACTATCTGTACTAAGTATCTGTTCGCGACTCAGACTCGTGATATTTATGTTTGCCCCAAATATCTGGTCGCGAGTCAGACTCGTGATATTCATATTTGACCAAAAATCTTCATCGCGAGTCTGAGTCGCTAAAGTACGGGAAGGGGTTAACATTCGTTTATCATACTGTAGAACACAATATTTCATATCTGAGAGTCTTTACTATTTTTGTTTATCAATTTTTACTTTTCATATTGACTTCGATTAATAATTGTCAATTAGAAAAATAATTGTATTGTTAACAGAGGATAAAAAGAAGAAGAAACGAGAGAGAATGAAGAAGGAAAGTTCTGATAAGAAGCAAGAATTTACCGAAATGGATAAATTCGCTGGCCAGCTGAGTTTATTAGAGACATTTGAACCCTGTGTATCCACGATTTTCGTCAGCTGCGCCATCGATCTGCTAATGAAAAATGGAACGAAACACGATGAGTTACTATTCGTGGAATTGATCTGCCCGATCAATAAACCAGAGATTTTGCTTCTGAACGAGGAACAAGAAATTGCGTTCGGATCAACCGCGATTGGCATTCCCTCCAAGAAGTTCTTATTCGTTAAGAACATTTCTAATCAGTACGTATCGTGAATCAATTAGAATACTTATTATGGGTCATTTTAAAAAATAAAATATTTGGAGATTGTAAAAATAATTCTGTCAAAAAATAAAAGAGAAATAAATAAAAACGTTAACGATTACTTGAATAGTTAAACAAAATAAAAATATTGATTATAGAGAAACAGGAAATAAAATGTGAATAATTAAAAATAAAATTACTTTCTCCAATTAGAAGTGTGCAGGTAAACGTGAGCCTGCTAGATCCCCTCGGGCCTTTCTTCGTCCCTCCCGGGAAGACGATCGAAACTGGTTCAATTTTGAAACTTCCAATTACATATCGGCCAATCGAAGAACACGAAGAAAACGTAAGTTCCGACTTTAATCAGACATTGCACAAGCCTTAAAAAGCGTTGTACGTCGGAATGACGATAAATTTCGTACGCGGTGCCTTGCTCTTAAACACAAAGGTCCAACCGTTCCCTTCAACAGTTCGTACATCCCTTATTTTGTATCTCCCTGGCCCGGGTTGAAGTACGGTTAACGGTTCGGGTCGCACGAACTCGACGTTTATGTCGAAGGGATAATTCTTTGTGCTCGTTGGCTTCCTTGGCGATTTCGGATCGTAGTGGCCAGGCCCAGGTTGCTTCGGATCTTTGTATGCCAGCGCGAGATCTTTTAGCATGCTCCTCAACCCCGATATCTTCGGGAATCTACCGGAAAATTAATATTCACTTCCATTTAGAAGATTACAATATTTTTCTTTGATTTTGTATCAACGAATTAAAATTTGGAATCTGATTTCGTTGTCTGAATGGAACCCGCTTATTTTTATTCACTTTTTGGGGCGAGTTTGTATTCCAAGTTTGATTTACAAACATAAGACGTGGCGGGGATTTTAACGATAGCCGACGGCCATAAATTTAATGAGAATACCTCGGACAGGTGGTAAAACGTCCTTTAAAATAGTTCGACTTGTGCAATAGCTTGTCGAGCTCGCTTGGCAACGATTTAGGCCAGTCCCCGCGATCTTCTAATTTCACGGTGGCTTGGTAGCTTCTGAGCGTGCTGTCGTCTCTCGGTCCTGGACACGAAAATTCACACGCGCGTCACGTCCAAGTGAAAAAATGTTTCGACCCGTGTTCGATTCGAGACGAACCTGTAAACAGATCGTACGGTCCCCGTTTACCGGTTACTTTATTCAGCACAGCGTCCAGAGTCCTCGTATCTCTCACGTCGTATCTGAGAAACAAAACAATTCGAACCTTCAGTGATACTCGTTATTCCCTCCGCACAAATGTTGATATTTAGTCACCTACAAATTGCATGGTAGAATCCAACTTTTCGTCGTTACTGGTGGGAATCTGGGTCGCAAGCCGTCGTACTCGAAGGTGGGAACGCAGGAGGAGCCTCGCCGCCTTCTCCGGTCGATGTACCGATACGGATTCCTCGTGTATCCTGAAATAATCAATACCGTTAGTAAAATATTACTGGTTTATTAACACTAGAACACAAAAATTTTGTGTCTAGAAGATTCTCAAATAAAATTTTTATTAATACAAAATTTTTTAATTTGTTCAGTTTTCTTTTTATTTCTTTATTAAGTCAAAATTTTTGTAAACCATTTCTTTGGAAATATTTTCTGAATTTTGTGTTCTAGAGATTAAGAATAGGGAAAAATTCGCCTGGTCCGGGAGTGGTGGACGGCCAAGAGGGTTGGAAAAGGGGCACGGTCCCGCCAAACCCGACGTCCCTTTTAATTGTCTTGCAGGGTCTGTACAAAACGGTATCTGGCCACTGAACAATCTCGTGTGTTCCGGGGCCACGTCCTCTTCTCAGCACGTCCTTTTCGATTAAATACTTCTCCGGTATTTTCCCTCCCATAGTAGCTGCGAACTCCTCGGCCTTTAATTCATTGTCCCAGCTGTTATCAGTTTCCCAAGAGGGTTTTCTTTATTCGAGCTTAGGAAAGAGGATTATTAACGAATCGGGGAGAGTATGTACTTGCTAGCCGTGCATTTGGTTTTTATGGGCTGTGGGTCGTACGTTCCCACGTTTGGAGTGTCTGTGCTGGTTTTGTATAACTTCGGGTGTAACCCGATGACCACATCGCGTTTCGAGCCGACGTTGAACGGTGGGTGAGGCTTTTTCTCGCGAGGAATCAAGCACTGACATCGCCAGCGACACGCGCATCGGCACAGCTTGAACGATTCAGTTCTCGTTCCGCAGGACATTTTAATACTTGATTTTCTATTACAATTCTGAACACTTTTCTAAATCACGTGGGTTTGTAAAAGTCCTGTAATAACTATAATTTATGTGTTCTCCATTTATTTAGTATGTCTGTTCAGAAATTATTAATTAATTATGAGGGAATTTTATGAGTGTTTTTATTTCAAGGAACAATTAGGGTAAGGTTAATGGAATAGAAAAGCAAATTTTCGAATTTCTCTCTCGACTGCTACTGAGTTCATTCGATATGCCAGTATTGATCGAATTTGAAAATCCATTTTGAAATCGATTTTCAATTAAGATTAAGTTCATTCAATTCGTCTACTGTTTAAGATGATTTAGATAAAACATATTTTAGATGAATTTCGATTATCTTGCATAGTGCAAAAGGCGATAAAATTTTGTGTTTAAAGGATGAAGAGTATTTTGAAGTGTCAAGCAAGAGGAGCAGAACGAGGTGGATCGTGAAAGTCTCCGGGCGTGGAGTGGTGCCATCTTATGTTCTGAAGCCCCAGTTTCGAGTGGCTCGTTTTAAAATTATCGAAAGACCAGTCGAATTAAGAATGTCTGTAAGTCGAATTCTTGCTGTAAATATGATTATTAAATGATGTCAATTGGATCGTGGTAATCTACGAGATGTACGAGGAGACTTATTACCGAAGTAACATTAGTTCTCGGTGACCTTATGGATTCTTTTATACCGACGCGAAGAGTTTAGACTGATTCGAGCGTCCTCTCGTCATGAACAGCTCTCTATTTTTAAACTTTACTGAAATAATATTGCAGAACGAGAGGGATATATATTTGTCTTCTATAGATTCAACTTTTATTCCAACGAAATTAAATCAGTTGTCAGATACGAGAATGGTCCTGTGCAATCTCGGTTCTTCAATTAGCGATAAGATTTGGGTTTATGAATAATAATCGAAAGAGCATGTATCGAAATTCCATTAATTATCCCATAATCTGATCATAATGGGAATGAATATCGATGATTCGATGCAGAATGTGAAATTTCTAATAGTAATTATAATTAAATTGACCGAGTAATCATATGAAACATGTATGAAACGTAATACACAGCAATGTTAATTACCATACCATCACCATATAGTAATTAATCTCGTCAATGGTCCAACAAGGTAAATTAACTCGACACAGTAGTTATATTCGCTTTCCCTCTCCCTCTCCCTCTCCCTCTCCCTCTTTCATTGATCCTGTCACGTTAATAGTTACGGAACAGAGAGTTCCCAGTTACTTTTTTCGCGATTCAACCGAACACGTATGTGTACAGCGGTCCGTTGAGAAACGTTTACAGATTTATTTTAGCTGGAATTAGTCCGCGTCAACGACACATGCTTGTTCAACGAGATTGGTTATTAACGGGTCGTTGGCTAAAAACAAAAAGCAAGAAGTCCCGCGGAAAATTTGTTACATCCATTCTCTTCCTCTCCTCGTAGAACTTTTTTCATTCCAATACCCGTCCTGTGCACACTGTTCCCGGGAATTAATGAAATGCAATTTTTCAAAAAAATCTCTCCCACTTGCTTTTAATGGATGTTTAAAAATGCTTAAAAACATCTTTCACTTTGCTTTTATTAGATACAATTGTTTAGGCTGTTCTACATTTGGAGACAAAAATTCTTGGTTCAAGATTTTTATTTCAACAAAATACAAATATATTTTTTATAATGTATAGTGTGGCACTGTTTTTCATATTTTACATAATTTAAATCATAGATTACGGAATCCTCCAACCGGAATCTACGAAGCAAACGATTTTAAAGGAAGTCAAAGAGTCAGGAAATTCCATCGACTCTTCTTGTACAAACTTTTAACGATTACTGTTTATCTTTATTTTATAGGGCATTTACGGAATTTTATTTATGTCCACATATTTCAGAATTGAACTTTCCTGATCCTTTTGCGTTCTATTTAAACTCTTAAATCGTTTTGCTGAGGGACATAAACTGATAAAACAGCGCGAGTCCAAATAATTTTGGTCTGAATATTGGAATAAATTTTATTTATACATTTTGTACTTATTGGCAATTGACATAAACTATTTAAAACACGCAAACAAGCAAATGCTTAAGACGATCTTAAGAATAAGCAACGACTCTGTATACCAGTCATAGATTTCTGAAATATATGTTTACTTCATTACGATCATTTTTTAATCTGATCGTAAACAGTCCAGAGGTTCCGGTAGTCAGGACCGATAAATTACGTTGCCAATCCCGTCTCGTTTCGCTCTATTTAATTCCACACTCGATCCCCCTAATCGAGTTCAGATCAGGCTTAATTGTTCACCGAAATTCGCGGAGCCACGCCAGGCTGCACTATTTCGTTCCTTCGCTAATCTAGCTCATTATACGCTCGTGATTTGCATCACGATACTCGTCCCCCCACCCCTCGTCTCCCGATCCTCGGGGATCGCTTCCGGCGATGCTTCGGCCCGTTCGTAAAGTAGCCACAGCCACGGTTTCCGGCGAAACAATTTCCTGTCGTGGTTTCGTGACACGCGTGCTCGCAAACAATGTCAGTCGCTTAAGGATGAGGGAATCAAAGGATGGGGAGATGATTAGAATGCTTTGAAGCGGTGCCCATGCAATCGGCGATGCACCGGATTGGTGGGGGGTGGGAGCTTTTGATGATAAAAATTGCGAATCAAGAATCAGTCGCCGGCCCCTCCGGTAGGAATTTGATGAATAAATTTTCCTACGGAAATGTTCAAATGGTAAAAGTCGCATACATAATTAAGATTGCTCAGAGTAGATTAGATGAATCGTTCCATGGCACCGTTTGACAAATCCTCGTTATGTACGAACGAATTCCAAGAATGTTATTACAAAGGTAAAACGTCTCGACTTTAAATCAGTTTACCGAGAATTTGTGAACGACGAACTTCGTAGAAGTATTACTCTTCATAATTTTCATGGATTTGTAGAATAAATAAAATAGCGAAAGTAATACAATTGAAAAAAATTATATCCTATCTCGTAGTACGCCTTAATTACATATTCGACAAGCTGACACAATATCTCTGCTGTTAATATGGAGAGTTCAAAATCACGCCTAAATCTTGTTAGTATGCATAGAACGCGTTCTCACCTGAACTCAGTGATTGGGTGTTACACGACTCGGTCTACATAGGAATAATCCTCTTGCGTTAATCGAAATTACTGGAAACACAGATTAAAGTATCCTGCGTTCTGGAGTCTGAAATCAAATATTCAATATCCGCGTTTCTTGAATTATTTATTCTCCTTCATTTCCGTTTTACGTCACCTCGTCAGTTGAAGGAATCTTCTTTTGCTTCTCGAATTTCGCAATTTCCCAGTTCGCAGCTATAGAGTCGTTCTTAACTCCCGCGTTACTTGGAGACTAAAGGGAAAAGCGATCTTCGAACATTCAAAGAATTCCCAAAGCTTTCATCGAGTCATCTTCAATCCTCCAATTTCAATTTCGACGGAGTTTGTTACCTATCTTGAAACTATCTTATTATCTTACATTTAACGTATTTAATACATGTTACAAAAATATTTTTAATTCCATAAATTGATTAAAGTGCATTTTAATGTAATTTTTTTTCACGTATTATGCTAGATTCAGAATACAGGAGAATGTCCACTGGTCTTTCGAGTTGATCTGGTCGACACGTTGGAGGGTGAAATACCACCGGAACATAACGATTTCCCGCAGGAGTCTATAAAAAAGGAGAAGAAGGGGAAAGGGAGAGCTGACGCGGGCGTCGGGAGATCGCCGACGAGAGAGGAATTCGACGATAATCTAAGACCGAACGAGGAATTAGCGATATTTGGCGGGAATCTACGACGTTCGGTGGATCGCGGTGGGTTTTCGTTTTGGAATCTCGACGAGAAAATGCAGCTATTGGTCCCCGATAAAAAGAAGGTATTCCCAGACGAAATCTCACTATGGAATTTCCAATACGAGAAAAATCCTACGTTTCTTAAACTCCTATATTTTCTTGTTTTATTATGTATTCAGTTGTTATTCAGCATTTTAAATCAAGGCTGTGCGAGCCGTAAGATCTCTGTCAAAAATTTAGGTGGAATTCGGTATAAGATTTCACTTGAAAGGAGAACAGACTATCGACGACACGAAGGAAACTGCAGGAACTGCGACAGGGAAAAAGAGAGCGAAGAAGGGATTGAAAATGGATGAAGCAAAGAAAAAAAGTTATTCCTATGTTGCAGTACTGAAACTGATGCTGGGAAGCTCGACGTTGAATGAATTCGTGATGATCTGCTCGACGAAATAATCAACTAATAATGGAGTCGTTTTTCTGTTTTTATAGTAAACAGTTCTTTCCACGAATATCGCTAAACCTATGCAAATTATTTCCGTTTATATGTATATTTGTCTATACTATCCAATGCATTGATCATTCATTCAGAATATGGAATTCGAAAGAGTGTATACGAATAATCGTTGAAACAGCTGCGCGTCACGTGCGAGAAACAAAGTTTGTAAATCAGTTGAAAGCATAAATAAATTGAACAGTCATTTAAATTGCATTGTTTTTCGCAAGGGTCTTTCTATCTACAGTGCAGCAAATGTGGCTATTTAATATACATACATATTTCGTTTTAATGAAGAAGGGATTGAAAATGGATGAAGCAAAGAAAAAAAGTTATTCCTATGTTGCAGTACTGAAACTGATGCTGGGAAGCTCGACGTTGAATGAATTCGTGATGATCTGCTCGACGAAATAATCAACTAATAATGGAGTCGTTTTTCTGTTTTTATAGTAAACAGTTCTTTCCACGAATATCGCTAAACCTATGCAAATTATTTCCGTTTATATGTATATTTGTCTATACTATCCAATGCATTGATCATTCATTCAGAATATGGAATTCGAAAGAGTGTATACGAATAATCGTTGAAACAGCTGCGCGTCACGTGCGAGAAACAAAGTTTGTAAATCAGTTGAAAGCATAAATAAATTGAACAGTCATTTAAATTGCATTGTTTTTCGCAAGGGTCTTTCTATCTACAGTGCAGCAAATGTGGCTATTTAATATACATACATATTTCGTTTTAATAAATATTTATAGTAAAACTGGTTTTAATCCTAATTTTTCATCCTGGCAAATCTTTCCTGCCAATGACAGAGTTCCTGTTCATTCAACTTTTCTTTCCTCTCCATCACCACCTGAACTTGTCCCGAGGTTTCTTAACTTTGTAAATATTCCTCCCGCTCCTTCGATTTCCTTCTTTCTAATTTTTCTACTCCAGACTTCCCAGAGTTCTTCTACTTTTCCTCTTGCCGCAAGATCTCCTCCCCCGCGCGCGCATAGCGGGAATACTCCATTATGAAGTATTCCTACTATTACGTTCTCCCGTCCGTCTTCCATCCGAGATGGTAATCGGAATTCCTGTTGCCCAGCAGCTAAAATACGGGCAATCCGTACTTCAAAATGCGAAGTATACCTACGGAAAAATTCGTTTCGGATTTTCTGATCGTGGATGAAACAGATTTTGCCATCAGGGAAAAGTGCCGGTCTCGGCAGATCATCTGCTCCTATGCGCAAGAAATGTGAAGTGTATCAATATATATAATGAAGACGAATAATTTCCCGGAATTCCGGTCTCCGTCTCGGACGGAAAGCGACCGGGAAAACATAGTGAGAGTGCTCCATAAAAGACGGGAAATAAATTCTACTTCCTTCCGTGCTTCGTTCTCCGAGAAATTCACTGTCCAACATTTATTTCAATATTTACATGGCGGACGTAAAAAAAAATACAATTTCACATCGTCGACACGGTTCCTCAGAACACCCATACTTACAAATAAACGTCGGCCAAAATGCATACTCGTCACGTTTCTCAAACAAAGTTCACTACTTCATAATTCAATACCTCGTTCTAAAAAAAAAATATGATAGCTTGACAACCACACCAGTGAATCGCGAATACATCGAAGGTATCTCTATCTACGAATTTATTCCCGCGACGTACTGTGCGTCGAATAATTACCGGCAGCTCACGGCAGCAATGCGCGTAGAGACACACGTGCATACCTGATCGCATTTATACGGCGGTGCACACGGATCCGGAGAATTCATAATTAATGCGAACGAGAAGCTCGTCGATCGACAAGCACGTCATTAAGCTCAGCGTTTCATCATACGCCTACATTAATTAGATAACTATTGTAATTGAGTCACATTCAGAGGTGGCGCAAGAAAATATCCTGATCTACTGAACGATCCATTATTCTTATATTAAATTAACAGATTTCGTCGCAAACAACTTGTATAATTTTGTTATCTGGAAATCAATTTCAGATAGACAAATGTGAAAAACAGGCAGGAACGTGATGAAACAATTGTCCCTATCATTTATATGTCATCAATTTTTTATTGAATTAGAAATAATGTTGTATCTTTTTCTTTAACTTATTGCTACCTTTTAATGCAATCTGTTACCAATGTCTCATATACTCTTCTTCATAAATATAAATAAATAAATAACTACATACAGATATATCTGTAATATTCTACGTTAACGTCGATAATCGAGCGTAGGAGACTTATTTCAGAATTTAACAACGTCAAGCTCCACGAATATATATATTTTACAGTAAAAATATTCTAACAAACTGAAGCGAGATTCGTTATACAATAATCGCAGAGAAGTAGGCTTGATAATTTATTACCCTACCGCACGAGAACAACTATAATTCAAATTTTTTATAGTATAATCTACAGGTCAACCGTGAATTATCTGTAGTACGCAGGTGTGACTGCGTACAGTTTCCTTTCAACGGTTGATTAGCGATTCTTTTTCCCATTGGTTGAAAATCAACGCCGATTTTCGTTTCAATTATTACTCCTAACTCGAGTTTATTACAATTATCAATCAGAGAACACGAGCGAAATGAGTGAATCCTTTTTTATATAATTCCAGTACATACTTCATGTGTATAATGAGTCACAGATTTGTTCACACAGTTTCATATTTATGTGATTTAAAACATTATTGAATTATATGATTTATTATAGTATTACGTGACACTGTTTCTCATTTTATAAAGAAATAAATAAACAATATGAAAAACCACCGTTTGGCTATAACTAAATATTATATGTATATTAAAAATTACAATGATTGTATGTAAATCAGACTGTGAGCCACTATTCGCTGGTCATCAATGAGAATCGTGTGCAGACTTATGTATGTACAAGTGGATAGATAAAATAAGCTAGATTACAAAGCTTGACAATTAGTTACATCCAGTGAAAATGGGAAATATCGAGTAACTAGGAACGATTTCTTCGATTGTAAAGAGATTACCCTGCGACCTCGCCTCCTCACATATTATATGTATGTATACATCCTTAAATGATTTCTTTATTTAATATATTCCTAATAGAGAGGTTTAAGCCAGGGCAAACAAACCGAAATAGATCAATAAACTGGTCGAGGCTTTTCGCACTATGCCCGGTATTTTCAAACAAAATTTACACCGCACCCAACGCAAACAACCCTGTCCCCTAAAGAAACATGTACACCCTTTCGCGGCTCGATACGAGAGCTAAAATTTGACTTAACAACCAAGATACGCAGAGCAAATATTTTACTATTATTTTATACCCTATCGATTCACGATTTTCGTCGTCCGCGAACGCACTGTTTCTTTAAGGAGGGAAGAGTAAATCCTTCCAAAGGAAGATGTCCGATTTATACCGAGGATCTCATACCTCGATTTTGGTTTCAGAGACGCGTCCCTCTTTCAGCTCCGCCTCTCCCATGGCTTGAGCAATGTAGCAATTTTCGCGAGTGTATTCACGAGAGTTTCTACGCACGCGAGTCTTCAGAGATAAAAAACCAACTTAAGCACTCTATTTAGTCTTCCATGTCTTCGTCTGGGAAAACCGCGAGGGAGTATTTTTCTCGGCTTCTCTTCTCCCCCGGGGGTTTGTGTTGCTCTTTTTTTTACCTGTGAAAAAGCTACCTCAACGTGGGCCGGGCACAGCAAAAAAATCAAGTCCATCTGAAAGCAAAGGGGTGGCAAAGGGGCGAACATTAGAGGGGGTGGTCTGTGGGGGGTGGACGTAACGCCAGCTCTGTCTTTAGAAAATCTTTCCAGCTAATCCAATTCGCCGACATCACAGGAAGACTGTATTACATTCTTTTCATGGTAAAGTCACATTAAGCCTTCCCCTTATAATATACGTTTGCCGTCTATTTTAATATAAAATTCATCTATAAAATGGAATTATAAATAACTGAAAATTGCGAAGTTCTGAAAATATTAATTTTCCTCTGTCAGTAAACACAGATAGATTTATTGGGTATAAAATTGAAAACAAATAAATTGGAATTTAGAGACTACTTTTATATTTATTGAAAGTGCAAATGTATGGAAAGTACGTTTTAACTTTTTATTTTAAACGAAGCTTCGCACTTCACTTTTATCATATTATATTGATTCGAGAAAATGATGTAGCAATTTCGTAATTATAAGGCGAAAGACGGGAGTAGCTCGCAGTGCACGGGGGAATTCTTGGTGGGGGATGAAAATTTATGGACAAATTAGGTGTTATTTACGTATGCGTGTCGTGCGGTAGAGCGTCCCGATGATAGGATAATAGCGAAGCGCTATAAGTAATCTTGTTCTAAACTGAACTGGATTACGTCCAATCGCTTCGTGCATGGGTCGGGGGACGACTATGACTATAAATGTTAATTTCGCGACCGTACATGTAAATTCAGTGCGAAGACCTTTTTCGCGTTGGTCAGCTGGTAACAAGCGCATGCTGCGATACAAGTTCTCGGATTCAAAAAACAGTTTAGGAGGTTGGGAGGATTGTGTTGGATATGAGTTGAAGTGCCTGTGATTTTTAAAGAACGAGGTCGCTTTCTAACCAGAAGATTGGAATGAATAAATCATACGCACACTCATTCGATTTCTTTTCATGAAACATGGGAGATTTTTAAAATAAAATATATAAAAATAAATAATTAATAAAATCTCTATTACTTTATCAATTTACAAAAATCAAATAAAATGGTCCAGCTTTGAACAAGGTAATTTCTTATTAATAATTAAATCTTCTGGTAAAAGCTCTGACGTTCTTACAACCAGCGTCGAAATGGTTAGTTCGATCCAGATTGGTTAAAGCAACCAACAATAATCGACAGGAAGCAAATGAAGTTCGCGAAACGTTTCTCTATTGAGACAATTATTCTGTTTACCCAGGAAAAATTATGCGCTCCTAGCCAGGAGTATCATCGTACTAATGCGAGTTATCGGATGCTGCGGACTATTCTGCCAAATATCATTTGCGTTTCACGGTCGTGTCGCGGGCGACAACTCGGCCGAGTTTCGGGACCTCGACTCGCGAACAGAGTTCTGTATCCACCTGAACAGCGTGTTCAAAACAAACAAAAAAATTACACGCTGACCGAAAAATGTGAAAAGCCGTTAAGTAATCGCTTTGTCTTGTTTCGTATTTGAGTCACCGTTCGTCTGTCTTACGAGGGAGAGAAAATTTCATACACGGAACGTCCGAAGAAAAATACTCAAGGATAAATTTTATAGGAAACGGGAGCGAGTCGGTGTGGGAATATTTATTAAATTCGATAAGGCAGACGCAAGTTCAACAGCGTTACAGCTGAAAGCCGAGATCGAGGTCCACCGAGAGCAGAACAGTACTTACTTGCCCCGCGTACATACATAGATACATAGTGTACTGGCGCAGACGACTTCTTTGAAAAATCGATTCATGTAATTCATTCGAATTCGTAAAACCCGGACACGTAAAAACGGGGCATAAAGTCTTTTTACGATTCGCACGCGCTGCTAAAATGAGACACTTTATCAGCACCAGCGTTAAAAACAGTTTTCAATTATTCTGTTTACCCAGGAAAAATTATGCGCTCCTAGCCAGGAGTATCATCGTACTAATGCGAGTTATCGGATGCTGCGGACTATTCTGCCAAATATCATTTGCGTTTCACGGTCGTGTCGCGGGCGACAACTCGGCCGAGTTTCGGGACCTCGACTCGCGAACAGAGTTCTGTATCCACCTGAACAGCGTGTTCAAAACAAACAAAAAAATTACACGCTGACCGAAAAATGTGAAAAGCCGTTAAGTAATCGCTTTGTCTTGTTTCGTATTTGAGTCACCGTTCGTCTGTCTTACGAGGGAGAGAAAATTTCATACACGGAACGTCCGAAGAAAAATACTCAAGGATAAATTTTATAGGAAACGGGAGCGAGTCGGTGTGGGAATATTTATTAAATTCGATAAGGCAGACGCAAGTTCAACAGCGTTACAGCTGAAAGCCGAGATCGAGGTCCACCGAGAGCAGAACAGTACTTACTTGCCCCGCGTACATACATAGATACATAGTGTACTGGCGCAGACGACTTCTTTGAAAAATCGATTCATGTAATTCATTCGAATTCGTAAAACCCGGACACGTAAAAACGGGGCATAAAGTCTTTTTACGATTCGCACGCGCTGCTAAAATGAGACACTTTATCAGCACCAGCGTTAAAAACAGTTTCTACTGATAAATAATAAAATAATACCAAATATGGAAGCAGTAATTTTCATAATTATTGCCATTTCGTTATTACGTGAATAAATTCTAAATGAATTCAATTAGAAGCTCAGTCAACGTAGTACAATTAAATGCATTAAGTGACTCAAATAATGAATTATTAATAATTAATAATTGAATTAATTATTCACTGATTAGAATAGATTCTTTTCTAACTCTGAACAGTTACATAATTATATTAAAGAATTATTGTATATTTAATTGAAAAAATATTATGCAGACATTGTAAACATTTTTCTATTTGATTATAACTAATTCTATTGCCATCTCGTTTCTTAATGATGAATTCTGATTTCTAGAAGTGAATAGGTATTGGGATGTTTTTAAACGACGAGCATCCTGATCACGCCAGACTTTTATAAGCTTTCCGAAAGCAGTAACCGAAAGCATGATGGCAAAGCTCTTTGTATTCTTTGGCGATAGGAACCAGTGGTCTGATTAGTCGAACGTTAAGATGAAATAAAGATAACCAGCGTTTCTTCCTTTATTTTTCTTGTCCAGAGCCCAATCCCTTTACCTTTATGATCGACGCGTGGATTCAACCCTTTAGCTGCGGTAATCACTTTAAGACGTTAAGTCTAATTTACCTTCGCTCGACTCGATGTTATTACAAGAACAGCTGCTCTTCTCGCTTCCAGTAATTAATTACATTAAATCCGACCACAGATTCGTTCGATGCTAAATTGATTTCGAACGAAAAAGACTTCCCGGTTTAAAATTCATATACATTTTCCACTTCGTTAAAAATTTGCAATTCAATATTCTTTCACACAGACTATCAGATTACGTAATATTTTTAAAGTGCATGTTCCTCTTTGTAAAAATGGAAATAAATATTCGACGCTGTTTACGACATGAAAAAACATGAAATTAAAGAGTTACAATTGGCCCGGGAGCAGCTAAAGGGTAGAAGAAGCGAAATTTGGTTGAGAAAAGGTACAGACCGTTCGCGTTTTCAGATTCAGAATTCAGCCTGGCGACCAGAGAAACCCGTCATGTCATTTTCGTGCCATCGAAAGTCACACACGCGACAAAGCGGTAGGAGAAGAAGTATTAACTTTTTGCCGCAGGGCATCATACATATTAATCCATAACAATCTGAAATTCAAAACAGTGATACTTTTCGGTGCCGCTTCGCGATCATCCGTCTCCGTTTACCGGAACCTAACGTTCATTCCAAGTGTTCAAAATTCTCGAAACTTGCGACATTGATTCCATACAAGCAATACCCACCGATCTTACGTCTTTCGTACATCATGTAAATATATTATATACTCGCGTGCCGTGTAAATTATCTCTAAACGAGTGACGATACAATAACGAGCTCGTGACGAATTCGCTTCATCGAGAGTTCCGGATTTCAGCTATCAATTCTCGTTTGCTCGAGCTTCGAGAAACTTGATATCTTAACGACCGTCTACGTAACAGAGCAGAATAAAGAAGAGAACAGAATGACTCCGGAATGCGCGTGGGTCGGGTAGGTTTGCGCCGGTGCCGCGTACCTGACACTAGTCGTCCTGGTCTGGCTGAGGCTCGGGTGCCTCTTCACCGGGGCGCCGTAGCCCCTCCTCGGGCAGCAGATCCACCACCCGCCGCAGGCAGCCGCCAGAAAGCTCTCCCTGAAGTGCTTCGACATAAATCCGTAAACGATCGGATTTATGCAGCTGGAACAGAACTTTCAAACTCGTAAACGCAGACGCGCCAATTGTCGCCGGTTATCTCGCGTAACTGAATCCTTCATGGGTGGGAAACGTGCGATCTGAGGTCGTGGCAATGTTCTGAAATGATTCTTTCGGAAAAGTAAATGCCGGAATTGGCACTCGAATACGAATTGATTTCAATCCTGAGTTTTTATTGAATATTCGAGTTTTATTCAGCGAATTACTTCAATTGATTAATAACAAAAAGGGTGGCTGGTTCGATGGAAGGGGATTCATATTTGATGAGAAATAAATGAAATTGTTTAATCCATTTCTGCTGCTAATTGTAAATATGTTAAATGCAGCAATACTTGTATGGGATATGATGAAGCAGATTTAAAGGAACAATATAATAA